CTGAAATCGGGGAGGTACCAAGCCAATCGAGCCATGGCCCGGCGAGCCGCGGTGGCTAGCATCAATCCGAGCACATCGTCGGACAATCACGGTAAAATTATCGCGGCGATCGCAGATGATCCCCGTTTGGTTCGTTTCTACTTGGACCTTTGCCAGTCCACATCATCGAAGCGCACAGCGCCGTCAGAAGATTCAAAACCTGCTCGACGTCAACGTTTGCACGCGCCATCGGAATTACTGTCGTTTCCTGGCTCTGAAAACCGTCCATCAAAGCATCCATTTGCTCCAACGACGACCCGGTTACTGATTCACGGTATGATCACCGCACCGGAGTATGCAGGTAAGGAACCATCTGCGTTAGTTGACTCGATGATATCGTCTAGGTCCACCAAGTTCCAACCACATCCAGCTATCATCACTCGCGTATTCGATTTTTAATTTGGAGCTCGTGGTCTGTCTGTCCTGCACTTCAAGCGCTTCGATTTTGCGGCTCGGCGCGCTTGGTATGCGGATGGATCGGTCAATTTGAAAACCTTCACCGCCTCGGTGGCGATGCCGAAGGTTGGAAAAGCAGAGGCGATCGACGACGTGGCCAACGCTCTCACAGTCCTGCATTTGTTTGCGGAAGAATTCTTCGACACTCATACGTGCCGTCTTATCAGTGGTGCGCGTGAGTTTATGGAGGAACTCCGTGAATACTGTCAATGGAACTCCCAAGATGTTGGGACTATTGCGTTCTGGCTGGATCGCGTCCTGGAAGACTACCGAGCAGCGACGGAAGTTGATGCCCGTCTTGGCTCCGCTACCCGTACGAAGCTTCGTGACAGACTTTCTCTCAAAGACTCTGACCTTCAGAGCGCTCTGTACATTATCCAGTCCGAACGAGTCGCTGCTTTGCTGAATCCAGCAACTCGCCAAGGCAAGCCTACCCACCAGGGTCGGCACGAGGGTCCTCGACGCCACGACTTCCAACGCAATGGCAGAAAACCCCCGGATGAAGTGATTGAGGCGCTTCCACGAAAGGGTCGCCAAACTGTTTGCATGAAGTACTTATCCTCAGGCGGTTGCGTCTCAAAAAGCGAGGAACGGTGTGCATTCCCGAACCACGCCCATTTCCTACCGACAGAGCTACCTTCCGTCGTGCGAGATCATATCACCCAGCATCTCGGCGGGATCCGTGCCGAGCTTCGGCTATGAAGCTATCCGTTACCGGGTGGCCATGCTGGTGTTACCTCCTCGAAACCAGCGACTTCTTCTGTGAATGTCTGTATGTCGTCTCGTCAAGTCAAAGCGTTACCGTTGCTACTTCAAGGAGTTTGAGTACAATCGCAACCAGCTCCACAGATCAGCCTGCGACCGCGTGAGCCGATTTTTCGGGTCACTCCAGGCACCGTATCTGCCGTTCTCAGCACTCTACAGACTCGATTGCACGAGCAACAGCTCGTCCGCTGCAATCAGCTCCGTGAGGCCTTTTGCTCCGCTTCCATTCGGTTCCCGAAGAACATCACTGATGCGATTATGTCGGGCGATTCGTCCGGCCTAATTGACCGCACAATATTGTCCAGTTTGTCTCGCCTAGTGGAAAAGCTGCAGTTGACCCTGACGGAAACAATCCGTCTATGGCGGAACGAGTCGCCAGAAGACCGGCGACCAAACAAGTCCATGGACCCCACTTGGCTGGACATTTTACTCCATGGATATCGTCACCGTCACTGTGCCGTTGCCGTAGCCACATTTGGTGTCTCCCACAACTTCACAGGTCCACGATCCCCCGACACTGAGCCTGCTCGAAATCACGCCAGCGCTCGAGACTTCAATCGTGCACTCTTACGCAGCATTGGGGACGGGCAGACTCAAGGAACTTATCTAGTGCTCGATCTCCCTGTTGCTCTTCGATGGTCAGCTCTTCGTTTCAGCCCTTTTGGCTGCGTTCCTAAAAAGGACGTCAACCCGACAGAATGTGCTCGATTAATTCACGATTTATCGTACCCAGAGGACTCATCGATTAACCATTGCTCGACGCAATCAAAGCTACCTGATCTCAACTATGAGTCCGTGCGGCGCATTGCCCGTAGGATCGAAGAGCTCGCGGAGCGGCACCCAACGCTGAAGATTAAACTACTCAAAGGGGATGTGAAGACTGCCTTTCGGCTCATTGCCGTTGCAACCAGCCTTGCTGCTCACTTTGCTGGCTCAATGGGTGATCTTGCAGTGATTGATCTGGCACTTCCTTTCGGTTGGACTGGTTCACCTCCATTTTACGGAGTGTTCGGGGAAGGCATGTCGTTTCTCGTGGCCCGGGAGAGCCCACATTCTCTGGATCCCTCTGACGCTGACTAGGAACCGTTCTTCTCTTTCGTGTGGGTAGACGACCACATCCTCCTGGAGGTGGACAAAGGAAATCGTCTCGCACTGGCAGAAGCTGCTCTTCAACTCAGTATGCTCGCTGTTCTCGGCCCCAACGCCATCAACGAAAAGAAGTTTTCACCGTGGGCGACCAATCTCGACGTTCTTGGATTATCATGGGATACTCAAGAACGGACCATCTCGATGCCGCCTGACAAAGTGCAAAAGAGCCTTAACTCGAATTGCAAAGGCTCTTGAATCGGACCTGGTATCTCGTCATCAACTGGAAAACTACTTGGCTCGTTGCGGTACATGTGTCTGTGCTGTCGATCGGCGCGGACGTTCGTCCAGCGTTTACACCAGGCATGCCTTCGCACGCGTCGGTTCCAGCGCATCCGTCTGACCGCCGAGATTCTCCAAGATCTCCGTTGGGTCGAATGTCTCTTACCAAATGGCGCGGCGAACAAAGTGTCCACAAGCGTCGTGGCCAACACACTGAAGCCTTCCGTGCACCTGTTTATGGACGCCTGTGATGAAGGGCTCTGCGTCCTCTACCCTGCAGCTCGCGAATATTTTAGAATACACTTCGACGCACAAGAGATTCACGCGGTCAAGTCCGCGACGGCCGACAAATCAGCGTGGTTCAGCATCAACGTTCGTGATGCTCTGGGCGCGGTCCTTGCAATTCTTTTATGG